CTGAATGGGTTGAATGATGGAGCCTTTAGTTTCCAATCTACAATTTCATTAGAGAGGGCATTGGCTCATAGTATGCGATCTGTCTGTGAGTGCTCAGCATCGTGCCCAACAATATCAAGCATGCAAAACAAGGGAATGCATATCACAACTTCCAAAATAGTCGCACCAATGCGTACACAAAAAATACGGGATAATTTTGTACCCATCTCCCATTCAACCGTAACAAGTACGTGACTAGGCACTTCGGAGGTCTCCTCTTCTCATTCCCCTTCCACTCCTTCCCACGCCTCGCGATCAGCCCTCACACGTATGCGGACGATCTCGAGCCGTCTCGACAGACAACCAAACTCGGTGGAGATTGGCAATTCGCGTAGCTTTCCTCGTCAGTCTCATTGTCATTGTAGGCGTCGGAGTCTTGTCCTTGCACCGGCTGAGCATAACTGTTTTCTAGGCAATGGAAAGCAGCCAATCACAACTGCACTCGCTTCCCTTTTCCCCACCACCGATTTCATTCTGCGCCCAACCGCATCTCGTGTCAGTACGGATCCAAGCGGCAATAACTTGAGCTGCTTCGCCTTTTACTAATTCCTTCAACATCTCATTAGTCTCTTTTTCAGTTTTCCTCTAACATGAAGTTAACACTGCAAATGAAGCGTATTACTATTCCTATCTTTGGCATGGATAACACACGTTTAGTATGTTAGTCAGTGCCAACGGCAGCTGACACTGCTGACTATCTCGTAAGTAGTGCAATGCGTAAGCACCTCCAAGGTTTTACGTTTGGCCTGGTAAAGTCATTCGCACCTTTGCATGTTCCAAAGTTGCCGCGTTTGTCGTCGATGGTCTCGGACAAGTCGATGATGGCTGTTCGACGCGTCCGAAGCACCTGAGACGCTGACATGGGTGCTTCAATCTCAGTGTCCTGGACGTCGAGCTTCCCCACAGTCTCAAGGAACGCGGGGTTGGCTGGCTGAGCACCTACAAGTTGTGCACATACCTACTACTAATTGTGCTGGTAAATTGGAGAAGGTGGTGATTGTGGGCGAACTGATATGGCCTCCTAATGAGCCATTCTTAGCTAATGAGTTAAGGTCCTCATAGCGGACGAAACTACTGACGACAGTCATAATCCATTCGTAACCGATGAAGGCGCAAACAAGCCAACGACTTCGTAGTGTTATGTACAGTAACCAGTACATCTTCCGCCCCGTATTGCACCACATTCACATGGCGTGGTGTGCTTGTCCAGTGACAAACTAGATGCTCGTCGATGGCTGAAGTGCTACTGTGAGGGAAATAAGGAGGACGAGGCAGGGCACTCACTCATCCATAAAAAAATATTCATC